ATTTCTGAACTAGATAAAAACTAATATTTTCAAACTTATTTACATTAAAAATTTTTAAACCCTAAGTTGGACTCATTCACTAAAGTTTTTTCTAAATTGGACTACTATATTTCTACATCAAAATTTCAGAATATCCTGAACAGACTCATCTACACAATCTACTTATTTGGTTTTAAGGGATTGAAGTGTCACTTGAGGACAAGTAACATATTAAGTTTGAGGGATTTTGATGCACCTAAAATATATAGTCTTTATGTACACATTTTTATACCTATTTACGAGATATTGTGCTTTAATAAAAAAATATTTGTGTGTTTTTCTTTCAGCTATAATCAAATGAATGAAAAATAGTAGAAGGAGTGAAAAAGATCAAATTTGGAGCAAAAATGAACTGTGGCGCCTTAGCACCCATGACTGACGCTTATGCTCTAGTTAAACACAGAGAGCCACACCTGAGCGCCGGGTACCCCGCATTTAAGCGCCAAAAGTAGTAACTTGATGATTCATTGAATTTAATTCAATGAATTTGGTCAAATTTTTGAAGAGGTGTTTGAAGCAACCCTTTGTGAAAACGTGGGAAATAGTTAATGAACCCAAAAATTCATTCAATTAACATTTGAAAGGAGGTAAATTCTAGAAGATTCATTGAATGGAGACACATTTTGAAAAGACACCAAGACACCCTTTGAAAAATTATAGAATAAGGCTTGGATTGATCAATAAAAAAGGGGCGATCTAGATCATCATCCATAGAGACCGATCCAATCCCAACCACCATACACCGCCGTTGCCGCTGTCGTCGTTGCCCTTTTTTCTTTTTATTTTAAGTTTTAGTTTGTATTGTAAGTGAAGGAAGAGATTTAGATGAAATTCAAGACTTTGGTGGAGGTATTTTGAGATAAGTATTTATCTTTGTAACTACATTTGGTTTTAATTTAGACTCCTTGCTTGTGTGCATGATTTCTACTTTCAAACTCAAGCATAGTTATTTTTCTCCATAAATTCTGAGTAGTTTTCTTTATCTTTTTCCTTAAAATGACAAGTGATTAAGTATTGGAGGGAAGTTCTGTGAAGTATTAGTCTATAATGTTGGAAGAAGTTGTGATGATTTAAAACCTTTTACTTCATTTACTTCTTGATTTGACCAATTAAGATGTTAATACTGTTATGAGAACATGTAAGATCCGAGATAGTATTGTCTCAGTCAACAAATGATAAGAATCACATTTAATTTCATGGATGAGAATGTAGCTCATGGGGTTGAATGCAAATAAATAAGAAAATAAACTTTGAAGGACGTAGAACTAGAGGACTTTAGAGTGACAGACTAAAGCCACCAATTTGATTTATAGTTTTAGATTTTGTTACGAGATGTTAGCCCCCAGGTGGAGGGAGAAGATGAAACTCTAGAGTGAGAGCTAGTATCTTCCTTACCTAACCCGTCTTCAAGACTATTCAACCTATACATCAGCCAATATTCTTTACAACATCTCTAGTAAGGGTAAAAAATATTATTGCTTCGATTTGACACAACATAATTAGATTACTTCCACAATAGAATTTCTATACTTGTTACTGATTCATGATAATGAAAAATATATTTTATTTATATTGCCTTCATCTTGAAAATTTTTAATTAAGTTAATTAGTTGCATACTTTATTTTTAATTATCAAAAATTACAAAAAGAATTGAACTTTCATTCCTATTATAACATCTAGAGTTTAAGTAAGAATACTTTGTTAAGTAGAATTTTGTTATCTAGTTTCTACTATTTTGTAAAGTTGCATATTGTATTTTCCCTGTGGGTTCGATATTCGGGGTTTAATCAAAATATTCTAGATTACTTGATAACGATATGTATACTTGCGTAGTATACTTGCGTAGTATCTCATAATTTACCTTGTTTTTGCTTAGGGTCAAGTTTTTGGCTCCGTTGCAAAGTAAGAATTATAATTAAGAAAATTAAGAATATAATCGCATACATCACATTAACATATACAAACAATCGGGATCAAATACCATGGACTTAATATTGACGGTAGTACCAAGCAGTCTCCATGTAATCACTGATCCGAGTTGGCTAATAATTTCTCTTCACTTTAATCTTAGCTTTCATTTTAGGGCTAGATTGGTAGGCACCCAATAATTTAGAGTGCACCTCTTTAACAATCATTTAGGATTCATGCTTATTCAAGCAATGTAACCATATATGATAAGAAAATCTTCGATAGAGTGTATATAAAAGAATAAAAGATAATGCTCTCAACTTTACCTCTAATATGAAGATTCTTCATGTGTACTTGTGACAACTTATTCTTTAGCCTCAATTTTTGTAGATATATTTTTTTCAATCGGGAGAAGAACATGACAACCCTGAACTTCCATTGAAATAGATTCTTCTTTTAAGTAGATTATCTTTTTAGCTAGCCTTACAAAAGCTTTCATATTAGTGTTACTACAATGTGGTATTTAGTACAAGGTGACATTCAGTATTTGCTAATGTACCTTACAAATGCCTCAAATCCATACCTATATCTTCGCAGATTCACATCAAATCAACCTAAAAATTGAGAAAACAAAATGATGAAAATTTTTGAGAATTCATAAAAATTAAATTTTATTTATAACAAAAAATATTTTACAGCCGAGTTTTCGGCTACCTCGAGCAACATCAGACCCAAGCTCATATATTTGACTATGGTAAAATGCTTGCCCTCTAAATTAATTTTTTTGACAACCTCCTCCTTTGATTGAACCCATGGGATTGAAATGGTCACCCAAAATTCTGCCAGACCTCTCCAAAAAGTAGTCACATCTGCATAGAGCATCCCCATATCAGCATAGAGGATTGTCAACAACCCCTTCAAGTTAGATATGGTTCTCTCCCTCTGAGGACCAACCACTTGAGCGAATAAGTCCGCTCTCTCATCCTTGTGATGAGCTAACGAACCTTGGAAACCCCTCTAACCGTTGGTCTTCCTCTTAACGTCCTCAAGACCCGACATATGTCCAGGTGTGCCATCACCCTAAGCTAAAGAAGAAGATCCCTCAACTCCTACTGAAATAGATGGTTGACCGGCTTCCATTATAGATGAGTCAATGATATGGACAGTCTCCTCTGTAAGAAGAATCAAACATCCTAAGCGAGGAAAGTAATTAATCAATTGACTAAGAAAAATAGATTTATTCATACCAATTATCCACTCCATCTAAGATGTGTGGTGGATCTCACCAGCAAAGCTGACCTCACCAACTCAGAGCGAGAGGGCCATAGCTTCATGCGGTTGGACTTGGGTCACCGCGACAACTTAAACTTATCATTGAACTGAATAAAGAGCCGGTCACTGGCAAATCAGATCTAAAGTAATGACTGATGCTTTAGTAGAGCACACATTAGTCCTACACCCCATCATACATAGAAGCAATGAGCCAGACGACTCAAGTGCCTCCTTCGTCCTCTATTTCTTCTGTACTACTTGGCTGACTAACTTTGTTCCCTCTAGAGAGCTTCCCTTACCCACTCTCTTTGATGTGATTGGACATCCTTCGCCCTCCGACTTCTTTCTTGCCAGTCAGCCCTCATCCATAAGTTTTTTCTTTCTTTCCATCTGAAAACTCTCGGGTTTCTTGCCACTCATCATCAATTTTTTCTATTAAAAACTGACCAAGTTGCCGAAAATTTAGAAATAGTGATGATAAAGTGTTGAACATGCCCTATTTATAGTAAATGTATGCACAAAAATTTAGAGAGTTTAATTATTAAAAGTTTTTATTGTACAATAAATAAACCAATTTTGACATTTAAGTCTTTTATTCTTATCGCAGCTATCGCTTTCAAGAAGTAAGAAAATCATAAAACTAAATATGAACATAAAAAATATGACTGCACAAATCTCAAGAAAGTTTGAGTGGCCTTACATAATAGACACCAAAGGATAGCATTTGGATATATAAAAGATGGAAGCACAAACTGTCACTTAATTCGTTAAGAACTATGAGTCGACCGAACAAAAGCAAAGCCGAACCAAAGAACATGAGGCACTTGAGCCAAGGGAAAGCCATTTATAATCAGCTTCCTTAACTGGTTTTGAGATTCTTCTCAAAGATGACCAAAAGGCACCCCATTGGATATATGTCCAATCCTCTGTGAAAGCCCCCGTTTCTAGAAGAGAGTTGCCCATTAGATTATAGTGATACACTCTCTATTTGATGGTCTACTTTCACCCTAACAATAAGAGGACCTTTACTAGTCGTATGAAGTCCTTACAACTGATTGAAAATCTTTCAGCCGACAAAAAGGTTATTAGGCGACTTAATGACAATATCAATGAGCCATTAAATGCTCCTCTTCAAGCAGCCGTGAATGCTAAATATTGTCAATGATAGTTATAGATATTAAAGGGTCCCGGAGTCAGTTACAAATATGAAAAAATGTAATAAATTACTTGTCATGTCCGTATTAAAACAGAGATAAATTTATAACTTTACTAGATACCCCTTTGATATTATATGGTCATTCATTCAAGCAAGAACTATTAAATTTATCCTATCAGAATTTGCGTTATTGTGCACTATTTCTCTCTCGCTCGCTCTCTCTTTCTATTCATGTGATTCATTCAACGCTCTATTCCTTTAGTATGATTCACAAGATATTTTTGAATTCAACCTATATATATATATATATATCACTATTTAAAATGTAAAAAAAATTATTTTAGTGTCAATATGTAAATTAGTATATTTTTGAATTATATGTATGTTAATTATTTTTTATATTGGGGTATTTACATACATATCATAAAATTTCTATTTATTTATATATCTAACACCGAAGTTTTGATTTTTAAAATAATACACCAAAGCCTTTTCTATCATATAAAATATATTTCAACATTTAAAAAGTAAAATATATGGGTGGCATGCATGAAAATATTCAAGTTTTTGATTTTAATATTAAATACATGTGATATGTACGTAAATATTCCAGCTACAGAGAAAGGAGAAAGAACCCATGACAGTTTTTCTCTGGAACTTTCTGACCCTGAATTCAAATGTCGTGCCCATCAAACGCTTTCGGGTACAACGGCAGTTATTGCGCATGCGAGCCGGGATACTGGCGGCAGCATAACGGGAGCTGCGCTCTGTTCTCCGGCGGCGGCAGTGACTGGATCACCAGCTCAGGCGTCGGCTCCTCTTCCACCGTCTTCAGTACTGTGCTTCCCTTGGAGAACATTCGGCGCTTTACCCAGTCTCAGGCCGTGCTGCTCGAGGCCACGCTGGCGCTCCTCCTCGTCTGGCTATTTTTCTGCTTCCTAATTCGCTTCGCTCCGCTCCGCAGTGGCCGCAATTCGGTCTGGTTTCGTTTACGCTGGTGGATTAGCCGATTTGATTTCTTCTTCTCTACCGAGCATTGGCTGGTCAGTTCCCCTATCATTCTTTTATTGCTTTATCGTGGATTGAATACATCAAGTTGCTTCGGGATAATTTGGTATGGTAGGTATTTTTAGTTTTTTTTTGGTTTCAAACTTGTGTAGGGTTTTAATTGATACGTTTAATTTTTGGCTGTTAATATAATTTCCCAGATCTTTGGGTGCCTTTTACTGTTGCGTATGAATCAATATCATCAATTAAATGGAGGATATATCATGCTTTTTGTGTGAAAGCTTAAACTTAGGTCAGATGTTTGTTCTTTATTTACTTAATTTATTTACATTACTCTAAGCGGTAGATATATAAGGTTGTGAGGAGTTTTTGAAGGCATTGAGAAGAGAGAGAGAGATGGAAGTGAAGGAAAAAGAAATTGACAGAAATTACTACAAGTTTGCTTTTAGAATTTAAGTATCGTTCCAGTGATCTTACGATACATTTTTGAGAAAAATCCTTATTAATTTTTTGTATTTTTAGATTCTCATTTTTTGTTATCTTTCCTAAGTTATTTTTCTTTTCGTTTTTTTGTACTCAAGCTTTGAGAAGGGCTGATGTATGTTCTTTTTTTGTACTCTATGATTGTGGCTTCTTTTGGTATATCGGATCCTCTCTCATATTTCATTGATGCAGTTATTTAAAAGTCTAATTTTCTAACTTTTGATCTTCCTTTTTTGCCATTTGGGGTAAATCTATTGAGAAATGATCTACATCCAATCAATGTAGAACTATTTCTCATGATAGGTTTGAGGATATTATTTACTTTTATTGTAGTATCATCATAGTTTGTGGGGAAATGAGTAGCATACAACTGAAAACCATATGGAGAATTTAGCTTATATAAATTAGTCATGTTTTGACTTTAGGGATGCTTATTTGGTGAGTGATAAAGAGAAGCCCAGAGAGCAATAGATTATGCAGTCAACTCATGTTTTTGTGTGTTCTAGTTTTGACATATTTTTCACTTATGATCCGAATTTTAATAATTGCATTTATGTGAGAAATGGAGCTATTTACATGATTGAAGTTTTGACCTTATGAAGTTGAGGACAAGTGATGGGGTAATTTTTTTGCTGGCTAGAGTTAGGCATATAATATACTATAAAATCATCTAATATCCCAAAATATATGGATATCTTAAATATATATTTAGTGAACTCCATATGTTATTGAGTGTAACATTAAGTTATGATGATGTGGATTCAATAATTTTGATGAAGTATTGCAATTTTAGGAACTAAAGGAGAGTTAGCTTTTAAGCTACTGAATGGTTTTAGATTGAAAAAACACAGGTTTATGGAAGAAGTTTTGGATATGATTAGGAATATTAGTTTTGTGTCTCACAATTTATTTTTGTGCGACATTATATCATTGCATTATACAATATGTGGAGATGACTATTTCATAGGTATAAAATTTAGTGGTATCATTGTAGAGTACCTTTTGTGCTGCATCGGTCTTTCGTGCGACATTTAAATCTAATAATATTATGCTATGTTGAGCTTTTTCTAGCTTTTAGAGTTCAAAATCCTCGACTTGGGGAGAACTCATTGAGGTGATCCATGTTTCATCATAATATTAACTCTGTATTATACATGGATCGCATGAGATTGATCTTAACTTTATTTTGTGAAAACTTGAAAATGTATTGGTGATTTGTTAGGTATTAGCTAAATTTCCATACATAAATCCTATTTTGAGGTAGCTATCAACCTTCCTATATGCAAGTGTGAAAACATTGGGTTGAAGACTATGTAATTTGATGGATGGATGCTTAATTTATAACCTAAACATAAGAACACTTAAGATTTTTTGAGTTGATAAATGGAGAAGAGAGAGAAGAGGGGAGAGAATGAAATCCTTGATTTTTTTTTTTTTGGTTTTGGAAGTATCATCTTTCTAACTGATGATACTTATTTGGGGAATTGTTGGGATGGGAGATTTTTAATGATATTTTTGACTGTCTTTTATGCTTTCTTTCCCACATTACTATTTGAAGGGGAAAATGAATGATAATACTAAGTTGTTATTCTCGTAAAAATGCATCGAGGGAGAAAAAAAGAATGATTAGTGTAGATGTATATATCTTGAACTAAAGCATTTAACTTTAGGGTGCAACTATCTAATAGAATAAATTAGCCAACGATAAATATATATTTAAGTTGAAACATAATTCAAATTCAAAAAAAAAAAAGTGATATAAAAGATTTTCTAGTAAGAAAGGCCCTCCCTAAATCAAAGAATAAATGGCATAAGTTAGCCAAAGAAGTATCGACCGAATTTAGAGTAATTTTTTAGTCAAATGAGCATGGTTGACAAGTTGACTAATATCGTAAAAATGGAATGTCTATACTAGAAATAGAGTAGATCAATGGAGTATGGCTAGTTTAATAGGATTCAAAAGAGCATTATTGTCCTAAATGATTATATAAATCGAGTTGTTGGCTAAGTTTAGGGAAAGCCTAGCTAAAATGGTTAAACAACCTTGCCAAATCAAATCAGATCAATGCATTAATTAAGTCGATGAAATCCAAAAATATTGATGGCACATTGTGATGATGTGCATCTAAGTAGGCTTAAATGGTCTTTAGAAATATTTTCAAAAGTGTAGTGATATATGATGTCACTTAGATTTAGAGGAAAGAAAAACGAGCTATTGTAAAATACGACACAAGTTATCCCACACAACAAGGTATTCTACTAGTCAATCTTATGAACCATGATAGTCTGATTGATGCTCTCAAAAAGTGTGGTACAGGGCTTGAGCAAGCCTGATTAGAAATTACTTAAGTAAAATTAAATGAGTAAAAGCTCAAAATAGCCTCTCGATTATTAACAAGTGTCCGATTTAGTTCAAAATTTTTAGGATGCTTCAATTTAGTCCTAAACTATTAAAATTTGATTCAAATTGGTTCTAAATTAGATTTTTCATTAAATTTAATGAAGGCCGATATGAATGGAAAGGTATTTTTGTCTTTTATGTAATTATTTATAAATATATCTAGCATAAAATTATTGCATATATTTTTTGGCTGAATCAAGGAAAAATCTGGCTTAAAATCTAATTAAGTACTACTCAAATACGATTAAAAGCAAACATCCCAACCTCTGAAATCCCACTTCACCCCCATTTTTTGCTTTTAAATCCATTAAATAATTTATTTTGCCGCATATATTATATTTTTCTTCTTCAACGAATTATGTCTCTCCGCAAACTTATAGTTTCGTAATTACCTGGTTGGAGTCACAGTTTCTCCAAGTTGAACCGATGCATGTTGAAGCCGCCTCTTTTTGCAATGAACGATGGTCAAGGGGGATGCACTAGAGCTCACATAGAGATGAAGCCTTGTCGTCGACGCAAGCATTGCTGATAGAGAAAGAGACAGATATTGTTCTGTCGAGTGGAGAAGCAATAAATGAGTACTCTCCTTGAGTTGCTTGCTCCGTCGATGGTGAAACAAAAGAGAAGGCATGCTCGGAGGGAGACAAAGCCTTGTTGTCGATACAAGCAACACAGATGAAGACGAAGACGGAGACTATTCCTTTGAGTAGAGAAGCAACAAATGAGTACACTCCTTGAGTTGCTTTCTCCGTCGATTGTGAAACAAAAGGGGAGAAGGCGCATGAGTGGAGGAGCATCGAAGATTTAGGTTTAAGGTGAAACTATTTTGTGTATGAGTCCTCCGCTAAGAAGCGGCGAGCTCTTCATGTGTTTAATTTATGAATTTTATAAATAAACGCAATTACCCTTCAAAATATGAATTAAACAGAAAAATTTATTTAGGATCAATTCATAACAATTTTTTATAGTCGGGGGCTAAATTAGAGCATTTTAAAACTCGGGGACTGAATGAGACAATTCAGAATAATCAAGGGACTATTTTGGACTTTTTCTCATAATTAAATTAATCAAGTTAAGGGTAGTGAAGTATAATGACCATATCACTCTATATAAATAATTAATGCTTATGCTAATTGCTAGATGCATATGTCCAAGGAAATATATATGATTGGAACTCACAACTTAGGTTGATCAAAGGTTAATTTAAGTTGATTATAACACCATACAAGTGTGTACATATTTAAAATTTTTGTATTAGCAATCTATACTCTAGTTAATGAAATCTGAGCTTCAATTGTTTTGAATTTTCAAAATCTAAAAAATTTATATGAGATTCTCAAAATTATTTGAATATGTAAAATTCAGAAAAACTAAATACCTTGGAGGTGTTTGAGATTTAATTTAATATTTAAATTTTTTATTAATACTTGAGAAAGTAAAACTCAATGAGCAGTCAAAGTCAGATTCTTTTATTTTAAATAATTGAATAGTTAAAAATTATAGAAGATAGTTGAGGATATTTTGGAAATTATTCATACTGAAGTAAGATTGGACCGAATAACCTTTCAAATTTCTCAAATCAAGTTGAAATGCGCTTCTTGATATTGTGGATCTTTTTGATAATTTATTTGATATTTTTCATAATCATCATCCAATAAATGATACCTTAAACAAATTCATAATTTGGGAAATTTTCTAAAATATTTGAGTACGTATAATCTTTGATGTTTGATCTTGGAATGTTCTAAGTTGGATTAGCCACCTTGATTGAGTTAAACATTTTTAGTCACTACACTTGTGTAAACTTTAGGATTTTTCTGAGCCTAATTCTTGACTTCTAAATCATATCAGTCAAAATGTCAGTCGGGTATTGAGCTATTCCTCGATTTTGAATAAAAATGGACTTTCTTTTTGGAAGTTTTGCTTATATTTTATTATATGTACAAAATTTAAAAAAATAAAAAGGTATGATAATATAGATTAATGAACTAATTATGTCATCACAACACAATAAAGCAAGACAAGAAGAAACCAAATAACACATTACGCCTTGTAAATAGTTGCTTGCAGTAATTCTTAAGTTGATATTTAATACTTTTAATGCATGATCCTCATTTAACAGAATTTAATTATAATATACATCACCAGTTG